AGCCTAAAATCTCCGTAGCGTGTTGCCAGGCGGCAGAAAGCATATATATAATTATAATAAACTTACAATAAATTAAGTTAATATATAATTATATATACAGTAGCTAATTTATATATAATTAATATATAATTATATGTACAGTACCTAATTTATATATAATTTATATATAATACTAAACAGACGATAGCAAACTCAATTTAGCCGCTCCGTAGCGTGGCGCAGGGTCGGAGGAAAGTAGTTCGGCTGCTCATCCACTATTGGTCCAGACTCTATCAATCTTGTCGCGAAACGACGTTATGGGAGGTATGTTTTACGAGAGTTTGTACAATTTTTTCGTTACGTTATAGGAATTGTCGTTATTAGAACGTACGTTATAGGGGGGTCGACTGTATATAGTTTTATTTGCACTTTACCTTTGAGGATAGACGACGTGTAAACTGGTGGCGGAGAAGAGGGAGAAGGGAAATGATACTAAAACTTAACTTATATAACATAATGTAACGATAACTTAAAAATAACTTAACACTAATTTTTTTAAATCTTTTCTGTTTTATATATATACGTTGCAGTCAAAACCAGTTTTTAGTTAGGACGTGTTTTAACTAGTTGAAACTAGTTTATACTGGATGTCTTTGTTACATCTAAAATTTTCTAGTTTTAACTGGAATTTACTGTATGTGTTATTAAAATAGAACGTCTGTGTTATTAAAATTAATTAAAGCGATACGAAATTAATCATACACTATAGGAACATTTGTAAGGAAAATCACAGAGCCATGTCGGCAATATTAACTCTAAAACAACATTAGTAATATTAATTAGTCATACAAAAATAATCATTCGATAAAGGAACATACCAGTTGACCCTCCTATAACACTGTTGATAAGTCCGTTTTATATGAATTCCATGTTGTACGAGTCACTTAGATTTTACAAATATGTGAGCCGTTCACAGCCCAGCATAAGCATTTGTAAAATCTAAGTGACTCGTACAACATGGAATTCATATAAAACGGAATTATCAACAGTGTTATAGGGGGATCGACTTGTAAATATAAAAATTAAGTCTACATTATTTGTTATTGCAGGGCAAACTATCGTGGCATTTCGAGTTACACGAGTTGCCTTTTTCCTTACAAAAGCAAATCTTCGACATACACGACTTCTTACACAAACAGCGAACAAATCCTTGGCCTGTTCCTAAGGCTGCTCTCCTGGCAGCAGTTATTAAAAGATACATTTGTTTCTGGCACTCCTTCTAGTAGCAAGAATTTTTCTTTGCACGTGTCGAATTCTGACCTGATCAAGTACATTTAAGTTTTCAAATAGGTTCATACTCATTTTAAATCGAATGTTTTATTAATAATAATTATGGTAAATTGTGCCTAAAAAAGGAAGCATTTTTTTCATAATAATTAGGCTTCAAAATCTTAACGAATTAACTGCGTAGATAGCAACATTAAACAGTGGCATAATTGAACAATACATACTTGCAATACAATTTATCGAGTATCCCATATTTCGTTCCAAATTGATGCAAACCTTGTTCATCCTTTTGAAGAATCACTCCGATAATATTACGGAGATCTGCTTTTGCTCTGTCGACATCAGGGATTGGTATAATTATATTATTACCGATTTCTACGGGAGCATGTATTGAATCCGAAGCCAATTTCATTTTCTGGGCCTGTTATTCCAAGTTTAGATGAGCTTTTTCTCTGGCTGCTATTATTTGGGTCTGTCGATTTGATTTAGCTACAGATTCTGGATCTTCGTCACTAGCTGGTATTATTTGAGGTTCTGCATTCGTACTAGCTGCGGCTTCTGGGTTTTCTTGACTGGCTACTATTGTAATTAGAGACTGTAAGCGTTGCATCACGTGTTATCTGTATGAACTTTGACCTCAGTAGAAATAGTTTTTACTAAGCCATTTTGTAAAAACCGGTTCTCTCTAGTTAAAATTAGTTTTAACTCAAAATCATTTTTGACTCGCAGTAAATTTTAGTTATAACGTCGTATGGTGAGTTTTTGTTCGTACCTTGGAGCAAACATATGTTCGAATTTCGTGTCGTATCCTGAAAATTTCGTATGCTGGAGCGTTCGTATTCTGAGGTACTACTGTAATTCGATAAATTAATGTAAATATAAATGGGTTTCGTGAAATTAATCAATTTTATTACTTTTAAAGAGGGACAAGGTTTGCTTTATCTTCGTAGAACGTCGAAACACTGGACTGAAAGGGTTTGAGTCACCGTTCGTCTATCGTTAGATGTAAATTGACTTTCTACTCAAACAAGGCGCATTATTTCTCTTTAATGTTATGAAAAGGAAAATACTGTACTCGAAGGATGACATCAGTTTATGGATCATTAATATATCTGGTTTATATTTTGGATTTTCCAGTTCTCTTCTTAAGTATCGCGAAAGATCGTATGTATATTTAAAATTTATATATCATGTAAAACTCTGTCAGATTTGTTTTAAGTGAAAAATTAACAATAAAAGTGAAAGTTTTATTATAAAATATTTGATATTTACGTTTTTTCTTCTAAGATTTACTTTGGAGGAGTCCAACATTTCACCCGAAGAATTATGGATGAAATCTGAAAGTTTGGAAGAATGAAGTGAATATTTACTACTGAGAAAATGAATTTAAAGATCGGAGACTTTCTTTGTGATAAATTTATCGAGAAAAATGTGTCTGTAAATGAACCTTGAACAATTTTTGTCGGGACCGAAAGAATCGAAGAAATTGTTATAAACGATTGTTTTCTGCATTTCACGATAAATTAGTGTTTTGAAATTGGATTTATTTTAGATTAAATATAGATTTATTTTTAAGATATAGCCAATAAGCCGAAAATATTTTCTGCATTTGTGGTTCTATTTATTGATTTATGTTCGATGTTTAAATTCAGATTTAACATCGTTTGACTTTTCTATAGGTTATGTGCATGAAAATGCAAAGAAATTTCGTTGTGAAGATTGTGGAAAAGCATTCCGTTTCAAGTCCGAATTAGAACGTCATCGCAGGATTCACACGGGAGAAAAGCCATTCTCTTGTCAGTTCTGCGCTCGAAGATTCAGCCATGAGTGGAATTTAAGACAGCACGTTATGATTCATTTTGGAGAGAAACCTTTTACCTGCGACCATTGCAAACGGAGCTTTACACAAAGACAAAATCTAGTAAAACATCTTCGCATTCACACAGGAGAAAAGCCATTCTCTTGTCAGTTCTGCGCTCGAAGATTCAGCCATGAGGGGAATTTAAGACAGCACGTTATGATTCATTCTAGAGAGAAACCTTTCACCTGCGACCATTGCAAACGGAGCTTTACACAAAGACAAAATCTAGTAAAACATCTTCGCATTCACACGGGAGAAAAGCCATTTTCTTGTCATTTCTGCGCCCAAAGATTCAGTGATAAGTCTAATTTACGACAACACGTTATGATTCATTCTGGAGAGAAACCTTTTACCTGCGACCATTGCAAACGGAGCTTCACACGAAGACAACATTTAATAAAACATGTTCGCATTCACACACGGCAAAAGACTTGAAAATTGTTTTGAAAATTCAGGTTAAGTTATCACAGGAAACACCTTTCAAATAAATATTCGTAAAGCTCTTTTTCTCTTTTAAATTTTGAATGTTTTAGAATTCTTCCAGTGTTTATTTTATGGATGTTCTTTCAAAATGTGTAATCTGATTTAAATATTTGTTCTATGTAATTTATATAGTTATGAAAATAAAATGTTTTTGAATTGTAAGAATGAGTTTCTTATTGTAATTAAGAAATAAAGAAGATTCGTTACAAGAAAGTAGAATGATGATAGTCATCTTTGAATAGGAAATGACAGAACTTTTGATTTACCTTTTGAATTGTTGAATGCAAAGTCTGATTTATATTTGACCTTCAACGTTATGTCGTGGAAGATACTCAGAGGTTGACATCACATTATTTTGTATTTAGTAAAAGGAAAAACTTGTATGTATGGGCACACAACAAAAAAGATTAGAATCATAAATATTAATTTCAGCAAAATAAAATAATGTTTATAATACAGCGCATAGTAATAAGTAAGGATGCACCGATAAGAAAAATGGCCGATTGCCGATTAATCGGCCATGCATTATTGGCCGATTAGTGTTAATAATTTATTGCGTTAATAGTGTGAGATCCTGGATAATTATACAGTTAATTATAATGTGGAAAAAACCCACTTTTCTCCACCTGGTACTTTTGTCTCCTTCGAGTCAGGTAGACAAGAGAGATATCGAATATCCTTGCAAAATCAACAATCTCTTCCTTTGTTTCTAAAATAAATCTCAACACTAAATTGTTGATGCATGGAAACTTCGACATTGTTTAAAAAGCTGAAGTGTTTCTATGTTTAACAGAAACAAAATATATTTCTTTAACCGCTGATATTTGGACGGCAACTACAAACAATTCACGTTTTTAAGTGTACCGGCCCACTGGTTGAAGGATGATTTTCAGCAGGAAAGAGCTGTTTTGCAAATTGTTCCCTTTGAAGATTCCCACACAGCTACACGAATCAGTGAACAGATAAAAATTGTGCTCGAATAGTATAAGTTGACAAGTGATAAGATATTGTTAGTACTGAGAGATTCTACAGCAAATTTGGTAGCTGGAATTAGGAATTGCAAATTAGAAGCATTATTGTGCTTTATACATACACTGCAGCTGACACTAAACGAATGCATATTTTCTGAACAAGACGTAAAAACTATAATCACAGTTAATAGAAATATTGTCACACATTTTAATCATTCTGCTGTAGCTGTAATCAAATTGGAAGATTTGCAAGAAAAAATTAGGTTTGCAGAAACACACATTAATTCAAGATGTTCCTACTCGCTGCAATTCTACATACTACATGCTGAAACAGCAAAAGGCCCTTGTCATATATGCTATAGATAATAAAATTCCTACGTTGAGCCCATATCAGTGGTCTCTCGTTGAAAAAAATTGTTCTACTTGTAAAACCATTCAAAGAAATTACTGTGGAAAGCCAGCCAACGAGAAGCCACTTAATCTTCAATAATTCCCACAACAGAGACTCTGAAATTATACTTATCAAAAGCAAAGAGCGGTAGTTTCTTTATTGGCATTAATACCACAATAGAAGAACTAGAAAAATCAATTTAAAAAATTTTTCAGCATATATAGAAAACAACTCTTTACGCTTGTCATCTTTATTACATCCACGATTCAAAATGAAATTTCAAAAAGAGGATATGATAGAAAAAATAAAAATATGGGCATTTGATAACTTAGATGTTGATAATTGAAAATCTCAATAAGAATTAAATTCTGGAGATGATCAAGATGGAGGTGGATCTCTAAGTTTTTCTGATTTATTTGATAAGCTTCTGGTAAACGAAAGAATGAAGAATAGCGTGTTTTTAAAGCAAAAGAAACGAACAAACGTTTCGATCAAGAATTAGAAACATATTTACATTTACCCTTAAACAAAGACATAGTGACCTATTTTTGTGGTGGAGAAATCAAAAGAACTTTTCTTTAATTTGATCAAAATAGCTATGATATATTTAAGTGCCTCAGCATCTTCCATTGAAAGTGAAAAAAATTTTCAGCACTGGAGGTAACATTTATGAGCCGGGAAGAAATAGGATATTATGCCCTGAAAATGGTGAAATTCTCATGTTTTTGCATTACAATTTAAGGGTTTTACAGCTTGAATATTGAATTTTTATTGTTTTATATGTTTACAGTTTAAACTTTAAATAAAAGAGAGAGTTTCGAATAGGTTATATTATACCTTATAATATATATCGATAAAAGGAATAATTTGAATTGTAATATTTTTAAATATTCAGTTTGTCAAGTCATAAATAATAAATATATAATAGAAATTTATTATTTTTTATTACTAGCATTATACTTAACATTCTAACAAAAATACCAAAATGCAAAATGGCCGATACGGCCGACTACCGATTACTTACCGATTATTATTTATATTATTTGTATTCATATATAACTTCGTATATGTACGTATTCATATACGAATACATATACATAATTTACACACACTGTTGTTTTACATATAAAAAATACCAATATTAAATTATAATAAATACAGATATCTGCATTTGAAAATAATTTATTATTTTTCAATATTGACAAGTATATTCATAGTAGCACAATAAAATTTTGTGAGAATCAGGATTTAAGGGGGTGTCACTTTTAACGAAATTAGGGACAGAAAGAACGGCTTAATTCATTTCAATTAGAAAATATTTTATAACTTTGACAAATTTTTCTAACAACGGATGTCAGTACTTTCGCTTTTGATAAGAAGTTCCTTTCCCTTTTTACCATGACTAGTAAGTTGCATCACAAGCGGTTTCACACGAGACTTGGCCATTGACTGGTATAAAAGGGAGTTTCCTGCCACTCCGGGCAGTTCTCCATAGAAAGTAACTTATAGTTAAGTGGAATATTTAACGATGATCCAGACTTTATTATAGTGTGAGATTCAGCCTGGGGTACAAGGTAGGTAGTTATGCCTGTATCGCTTAATAGGCAGCTAGTTGGTAAAACTAGTTCTCTAAAGTTTCAGATCACTAGATCTGATTTTAGAAGTTTACATAGGAGGGCTGTAATCTTCAGCTTTATGAGGATTAAAAACTGTGTAGTCTGTATCCAAATTGTCAGGTTTCCGACACCAGTTTATCTACTTATCGTAACGCGGATTAACACGTGTGAAATTTATGCTGTCGATCTGATTCAGGAGATAACAATAACGAGACATCTCTTAACAAAAATATATAGAATTTAATAAACAAATAAGCAATATTAATACAGAATAAGAAATAATCAAATAATTCTAAACGAACAATCAAAGAACGAATAATCAATATCAATCGCGACAGGAGGAAATCTATTCTAAATCTATAACTGAGTCGAGAGAGAGTGATGTATTCTCAATCTATACATTTACGAGAGAGAGAGCTCACAATTTAGACTTAAACATACGACCTGTTTACTTGGCAGTTTCGTCTTCTTATTCGTGAAGGTATGACATTGACAACTTAGGAGTACAGTAGATCCCCCTATAAGACGGTAGATACGTTCCGTTCTTTATGAATCAATTTTGTAGGAATCATAGTTTACGGACTACGGCTGTTTGAAAGGTTTTCTTTCATAAAATTAATCGATTCTAGACTAATTCGACTCAACATTTCCAAAATACGTATATTTTTTTG